ATTTTTTACCAATTTATTCTTGGAATTCTGCCATAATCTCACACATGAGATGGTGGAATACAAATCTTTCTGTAAAATGAACATTTCAGCTGGCACATCATCTACGGTACTGATGCATGAACAAAAGAGACCTTGCCTCATGTACAAAGGATGCTCATTCTTTGGGGTCAAAGTTATCCATCTTTGCTAAGCAGTGCTGTAAAATTGTTTCCTACTCAGAAGTCATGCAGATACAACTGTGCTGGGGGTACCACAAACAGTTGGAACAGAGCAGAATGGAGAGGATGGCCCTGCACAGCCTCTAATCTGCTCAGCCAGGCTGTCACTTTGTTTACCCGTAGCTCTGATCCTTATGTTTAGGTAAACAGACACCAAAGCCTTCTGTTTTATGGGCTGGGTTATTCTTGTTTGGTTTCGGTTTTCTTTCATTTTAAAATTTCACTGTACACATGATAATTTGTTTAACTCTTAATTCCACAGAAAGAAGCATAATGTCTGATACAATAGATGTTCATATGCAATTCATAGCTTTCCCAAGCCTCTGGATATCAGGCAAGACAAGGTATTTTAAAAGATGTGACCATGAGACAAATAAGCATGCTGTATTTTCATTGCCAGAGCCTTTCACTATATCTACTTGCTAAGAGAAAAAGAAGAGCAGTGTCTGCTGTATTTTTTTCTTGACACAGCTTTCTGGTTTTGACATATATAAATTAAAAGAGAAGGCCTCAGATGTCTTGATAATCCATCATGTTCATTTCAAAGTTTTACAAAAATGTACAGTTCTGATAGATATATCAATAAATAGCCTGATAGACCACAGATAATTCCATATTCATTAGGGAATTGTCCCATTTATGTGACTAGCCACTATACATAATCACTTTAAACTACTTAAAATATTAAAGTTTTCAACTATTAAACTTCAAATTATTGTTAGTTATCACAATTGTTATCAAACTTACTGTATGTCATTCTTTTAGTAAATAACTAAACCAATAAAATTTGGAAAGAATACCTGGGAAAAAAGAATATCTGATTCACCAAAAATGAAGTTTAAATATTTGCTACAATATCATTTGTTACACCTCAAAATTTTTGCAGTTATTTTAAAACTTAATATCTTAATCCCTCTTATTTTAAGTATTTATTGCTGTTTTCTGTTACCCATATGTGGAGTAAATTATTCCCAACCATTTGGGGAAAACCCTCAATACAAATCCTGCAGTGTATTATTTTCAACCCATTTAGTTAATTTCTGCTCTTTTCAAGTATTTTTATAATCAATTTTACCCAGTTTCCTTTATGAAATTCAATTATTCATTCTCAAATATTAGCCACACCTCCTAAAATCACAATACCTTCAGGCACAAAGAATAGTCCTGGCTGTGTTCATGCATCTTGTTTTGCCTAGGCATCATCACATTTTCAGGCTGGAAATTGATCTGTGAAATATGATTTTGATGTTCATATTGCATCGACTCTCAGTCATTCTTAAACTTTTCTATGCTCTCAAAACTGTCACTAATTCAGGAAAAAATCCTTTGAGTGAGTTATTACAATAAATCGTGTCAGCTAAGGGTGCTAGAAAGTTACAGAAGAAAGAATCAAAACTGGTATAAATTCAGAGTTTTAATTTTATTAAAAATAATTCATTTCAGACCAGAGTAAAACATATAATCTTCAAATTTCTGGTAAAATATCACTTTTTAGTATCAAATATGACCTCTAATATGGCATTATCCTATATCATGCATGTACTGTGATATGATATGCAGCTGGCACTAACACACCCCGAGTATTTGCATTAAAAGGTCTATTTTTTAATTTTCTGATTATCAAATTTTCCATTTTATTAGTAGTTAAAAAAAAAAGTTTGTGTTTCACAACTCTCATAAAAATGTGTATGATATGACAAATTTCTTTTTGAGTAGCAGCATAATTCTAGAAACTGGTTTGTTGAAGCCTTACATGTTCCAACAGGATACAGGATAAGCAGTGACCTTTCTAAGTGAAACACAAATTGCCAAACAATCACAATTGTAAAATCATCCAGTGGAACACCCCTTAAGTTCATCTTCAATCAGACTTCCTAAGAACTGCTTTTTCTCCATCTGGACTGCTACCTTTTGACCTTGGTCTGCAGCCAATTCTGCTCAGTAACCTTTACACCATGTTAGTTATTCCCTTTTCCCACCTGATCTCATTAGAAGCAGCTTTCTTCCTGTTTTGTAAGAGAAATAGGAAATCTGCTCATCCAGTCTGATGCAGTCCAAGACATTCACTGCCAATAAAACTATCAAGCTGCAAAATGTTAGGGAAATTGGAAAAGGCCAAGAACAACATTACAGAAAATCTGAAGTGATGGAAAATAAGAAAAATAATGGAACCTTGATAATTAAGCAGCATTATGGTGCTATTGTCACCTTTTTTTTTTACCTTTTCCTTTATATACCCGCTGGGTGAGATACAGATGCTGTTTTCAAGGATAATATACCCATAGTATGTTGCCATAGATGAACCTGATCTCTTGGAGAAATCACCTAACTTCTGCAGCCTACAAAAAAACCCTGCAAATCTCCAAATGCAAAACAAGAGGCAGATAGATATATATCTTCACCATAAAAAGGGCTCCTATATATGTCGTCTTCCCTCACAGCATTGCAAGGACTAACCCCTTGTTGTCTGTGACCCCCATGCTCAGCTGCTGGGCAGTGCTGAGACCTTGCAGCCGCTCCACAGCCCTGCTCCCACCCCATGGGTGGATTCTGCCTTCGCTATCCTCTGGAGCCAGCAGCTGCCACTGACAGGTGTCGCTTGCTCCTCTTTCATTTCTTGGGGTTGTCATGGAACTGGCTGTCAAGAAAATTAGTTTTTCTTTGACTAAAGATTATCCTGCTATCCAGTTCTTCCCTCTAAGTGAGGTGTAGCTTAGTCACGGGCTTTTGATTGTTCTGAGAGTTATAATATTTATTTAATATTTTAAATTTCCTCATTAAGGATTTTTTTCAGACTATCCGTTTTTATCTCTTTTCCTAGTATAGGAAGGGATTGTATTTGAATTCTTAGATTTTTTTTTTTCACATAGAGAGAATACAATTTCCCATCCAGGTTTCCGTGTAACATTTAACTAATCCTTTATCACCACAGATATGATGCTATAATGTTCCAGGTATAAATTTCAATGACCAAATAGGCAAGTGAGTACAGAAAACAAGAAGTAAAAATTATTTTTATGAACATCATTCTTTCATAAATACCGTCTTGTAGCAGAAGGAGTAGCATTACAGCAGATGTGAATAACATTAATTAACTGAATTTTAGGTAGCAGTCATTAATAAACGGTATTTCTATTTAGGTAAGTTAAGATCTGAAACATCAAAAAACCCAGAATTAATAAAAAGTATTTTGTAAAATAAGGTATGTTTAACAGATATGCAGAAAGTAGAAATTATACAGAAAAAAATATTATTGTCAATTCAGCTGTATTTGTTAACCTGGGGGAAAACAAATGGAAGAGCATTCCTTAATATTTGAAACAACAGAGCATGAAGCAAAGGTGTCCTGGTAAACAGTCCTGCAGCAGAAGGAAGATGAACTGGTGGACTTCATATTAGGCAAGACAGATGTAAATTACTTGCCTTTTGAAACAGTTTATTTTAATGTATTTCAGTCACAGTACACTTTTGCAGTCACATTTCTGGAAGAGTAGCTGTTGCTGTTGAATGGGAATTCAACAGCACTGACTCTACCATTTCACTGTGCTCCACCTGCCTTTCATGTTCTCAGCTCCATTCACATCTTCCCTGCACGAATTCCTACCCCAAACAGATGGCTTTACCCTCCTGATTACTGATTTCTCTGTCACAACCAGGCCACCTCTTTCAAAGACCTGAATTTGGTGAAGCCAGTGACTAAAATAGCAGTTTTCCCTGACCAATGACCCACCTTGCCCCTGAGAAACATCCACTTGCCCACGTGCTGAATGGCAACTCACATTAGTGGGTATCTGCTCCACTTTATGTCTTTTACACTGAAGCAGGTCTTTTAAGGGAAGTAATCTGTTTGTTGTGTCACCAGTTGCTTTTGCAGTTGAATTTTTTTCTGTTTTAGCAACTTGAACCTTACAAGCCAGTATAGGGAGGTGTGAGCTGGCTGTTGTAATACACATCCAATAATAACCACGGAAGTTAGGCAGCTGGAGAGAAAGCTGAGAGTGCTCGTCAGACCCCAGCATATCTTTGGGATTACTCCACATCTAGGAAACCTGCTCAGTAAGAAACATATTGCCTTCTTCTGGGAGCTCATAGAAACTGCCCAAGGCTGCCCTGTGTCCCAGTCTGAGGACAGCCGGACTCCTTTATGGACTGCACAGGTCATGCAAGGCCTTAATGTCAGCTGCCCAGGCTCTTGAGACCAAGGTACTGGATGGCAACAGGTAGTGCTTAGAGAAGTAAATCCTCTGTTGAGGCTAGATTGACACCTGGCAGACATTAATATTCTTTAGTGCTACCTTGTCTTGGCAAGTCAGAGAGAAAAGGTGAGATGACATCCTCCCTCAGAGAACAGCAGTTTTTACCTATGCCTAATCCCCTCCCATGTCAATGTTTGCATTTCTATGGACCATATTTTCCCTTCAAACTTTTAATGGGGATTTATGAACAGAATATTTGCCTATTGTTGGTTGTTTTTATTTTAAAGTCAAGTCAAATTTAACAAATATAGTTCTCATTCATAAGCAATGAAGTGTATAAACCACTGCAAATCATGCAATGAAGGGAGCAGTCCAAGGTTTACACTCCAGAGATTACAGAGGCAAAGGGATGGTTCAGGAAGTTCCTGCTTCCTTCCTAAAGTAGGTAGAAGGTTACAAATTAATCTCAAAAGAGTTTATAATTCTTCAAAGAGTTAAGGAGTAGGTTAAAACTGCCTGCTTCTCTTAATTGTCTAAAGGGCAGTTGGTCCTGTAGCATATAAAGTACCCATACATGAGTATGAGAAGTACAGAGAGAGAGCCAGCAAACAAACAGCAGACAGGAACAAAGTGCTGTGTCTTCTGCGAAAGATGCCAAAAGGTCTTTTTACTTTCATTCGTCTTTTTATGCTCTTACTCAGTTTCTCTACTATTTGCCTGGGAGTACTTTGCATGTCCATTAATTCCTCCGTGTGCAGATGTGGAAACAAGCTAGTATTTCATTGCCTGTTAGCTTTGGGACTCTGTCTCCTTTTTACTGGCATTTTCTGGAGCACTTTCCATGAAGTCCTGAAATACAGGGCCCTTGGCATCTTCATTCGAAATCCCAGCCACAGAGAACCACATGTCTGCACCATAGACAGGTACGTGTTGCAGATTAATTGGGAGGGAAGAATGCTATTTTGTAAACATACTGTGAAAAGAAAGAAGCAATACAAGGTTTTTACAAAATGCAAATCCTGTAGCGATTTTATTATTTTTCTGTGGAGAGAACTGTAGTCTCAAATTTTATTTGCCAGAGCAAGCAATAATGTGCACACAGCCATTCATGCAAACAATACCTAAGGTAAGATATACTACATGAAACAGAGAAAGATTCAGATTTTCCAAACCTTCCAAAGCCATGCATGGAGGCAGCATGTGCAGTTATTCCAACTTCATGCAGAAGCATTCTGAGTTCCATCTTAGCAGACAATTTAAGATGCTGGATGAGGTATGCAGGGGGCCTCTGCTCATTCATCATATGGCTCCTGCTTAAATTTTATTGTCTCATTGTCCCCCTGATTTAAAAATTTCACGGAATTCAACCAGGCTAAGCGCAAGGTTCTGTATCTGGGTTGGTGCAAATCAAAGCACAAACACCAGGGAATGGTTTGAGAGCAGTCCTGGAGTGAAGAACCTGGCGGGGGTTTGTTGATGAAAGTAGGTCAGTGTGACCCAGCAATGTGCACTTGCACCTCAGAAAGCCAAATGTGTCCTGGGCTGCATCCAAAGAAAGTCTGACCAACAGGATGAGGGAGGGGATTCTGCTCCTTGGCTCTGTCTTTCTGAGTCCCCACCTGGAGAATTTGATCCAGATCTGGCGTACCTGGCACAGAAAGGGCATTGACCTGCTACAGTGGGTCCAGAAGAGCGCCATGGAGATGATCAGGGGAATGGAACACTTCTCCTGTGATGACAGGCTGAGAGAGCTGGAGTTATTCAGCCCCGAGAAGGTTCCATACAGCACCCTTTGTACATGAAGGGAACATATAGGAAAGAACAAAAAAAGAACATGTAGTGACAGGACAAGGGGAAATGTTTTCAAATTGGGAAAGGTTATGTTTATATTAGATTCTAGGGGAAAAGTGCTTTACTGGGAGGGTGGTGAGGCACTGGAGCATGTTACCCAGAGAAGCTGTGGCTGCCCCATCCCTGGAAATGTTCAAGGAGAGGTTGGATGGACAACCTGGTCTAGTGGAAGGTGGCCCTGCCCATGGCAGGAATTGAATGTTCATTAAGGCCCCTTCCCAAAACATTCTGTGACCCTATGATTTTGTTCTTAACAAGTATGACGCTTTGAAGGAGAGAGTTTCTTAAACTCTACTAGGCCTGGCAAAACTCTTTAACAGGGTCACTGGATACAAATATCTTCTGGACTGTTGTGGAAACCCTACTAGAAACACTGACACTATAAAAGCAACATTCAGAAAATTTTGGTTAGATAAGCAGAAACATTCCAAATTTACTTTAAAACTGTGGAAAACAATAGTTATTGCAATAATAAATAATTGTGAACACTGATCTCATTTTTCTTCCAAATTAAACTTTTCTATCACTTGTTAAAATACAAGCATGATTGTTTGTATGCCATGGTTGGGAATTTTCATGGAGAAGGCTAGTCTTTTTAGAATGCTGTGTTTTAATAAAACATTTTGTACAAAGACAGGGCAAATGATACCAGTTATGCCTACATTTTATATTAATGTATTTCATTCTTTAAACACAGTTTACAGTTAAAGCCTCCTCTAAATTTTGGAAACACAACAGACAAAGCATCTAACCAAGCTCTGAGAGATAAATCACACTTCACCATGATGTGTTTCTTTTTGGTTTTCTTATTTTAGGCCTGACTTCTATCCTCCCTTTTATGAAAACAGCATAGATCCTGAAAAACTGGTCTCCACACTGTCAGTTGCCTCCACACTAAAACAGCAAGAATTTGACAGTATTCCTCCACCTCCATACAATGAAAGCAGTGCAGAGTTTGTCAGTGAAACAAATGAGCAGGAAGAGCCACCACCATACACATTATCTCTGGAGCAGCAGCAAACAGCTGGCCATGACCCAAATCCCAGAAGCGGGTTAAATTCTCATATATTCATGCAAGAAATAATTTGCCAGCAGGACACAGATTTCCAGAGGATCTCAGGAAGAGCAACACCTGTCAAAACAAGAGAGACAAGCAGCCAGTAAAATCCTGCATCTGCAAAGCAGGGAAGAGTGGAAGAAGACTTGTGTCAGTGATTCCTAATGGTATCACTACTTAAGGTGAAATTGCACAGTAAAAATATTGATCATTTGTGACTTAGAGTGGAGTGGGAGGGGATATGTAAAAATGTTAAGTATTTCAAATTAGAATAAATCTCCAGAGAGATAGAAATGCTCAGGCTGTGTCTGGTAGAAGTCATAATCTGGCAATAGGAGCTTCTTATCCTGCAAGATAAATGAAGCATCATGGTGTTATCAATCTTGACTTGTGCTTCATAAGAAGTTTCAGAAGAAAGCTCTCATTTTTGGTTTTAAGGCATTACCTTAGCTTTTCTTTGAAATTTGCAGATTATTTGTTGCAACTGATTGTTTCTGTATTGTACACCTTTCAAGTTATTTGTTTTATATGGGGGTAAAAATAACTGCTATTTTACAAGTGAATTCATGAATAAATTTTGTATTTAAAACAAATGCCTTGTATTTTCTTATATAATACAAGGTGCCCATGATTGAGGATAAGGGCACAATAAAATACACCACCTAGCTGCCAAACCGAGAGCTCTGGTTGTGCTTACATCTCCTCAGAGGGAACTATCAATTGCAGGAGGAAAAATCATCTCTGATTCCTCTGAGCCAGTTCTAAGAGCGGTGGCTTCTGTCACAACTTACTCAAGACTGTGGGAACTGAAAAAGGGACCCTGTACTCTGTTTCTGACACAAGTGGCTTCATAATTACACAATGAACACCAGCAAAAGGACAGGCTTGGACTCATCCTTCTTCTGTTATATATATCCTTCCTCCCACAAAATCACTGAGGCATATTTGCATCTAGGCCACTATCATCTATAATTCCAGATTGCAAGAAAAAGTTCATGAGGGTTCACTCAGATTTGAACTTGTAATATTTACTTAGGAGGGAACTTTTTCCTTTCTGGGTTGGAAGGTTTGGACTGGAGAAGATCATTTAGTCCGAGGCCCTGTAACGAGCAGGAACATCTTCAATTAGATCAGATTGGTCAGAGCACTGTTCAACCCAACCTTGAATATTTCAAGGAATGGGGCAACCTGTTCCTGGTTTTGTTACAGACCAGTGAGACAGAAAAGCTATCACAGTTTCCAGATGTTCATGTACTGTAAGACTACAAGTTAAGCATTTCAGCTGTACATGCAAGACATGGTGGTAGCCATGGCTAAGGCCAGGGAATTGACAGTTGCATCAGTTTTGTCTTTCAAAGAATTTCATTCTTTATGGGAAGAACATACAATTCTTCAGCTGCTGTAAGTAGAAAGGAAAGAAGAATAAAAAGGGGTGGACAAGCTACAGAGGAAGAAAACCCTTTCAGGACAAGTTTGGGATGAGAAATATAGTAACGTACCCAGAGAGAGAAAAAAAGAGTCCCTGAATGAAACAAAAAATAAAAATATTTTTCAAAGTGCCTGAAAAGCAGCACACCACAGAGAACAATAAAAATCAGAGGAACACAACATATTATTTAGAAAACAGTTAAAGAGAGGATCTGCTTAAGTGACCTCGTTACGGCCTTACCTCCTAGCATTACCATATCCATCCCCCAAATCTCTTGCTTCTTTACTTCAGAGTCCCAGATTCTGAAGTTAGCCAGCATTGTACAAGTATTAGTGCAGGCAACAATCACAGCAGGTAAGACTGATTAACCAGGAGATATCCCTCTGCATGTTTAGCTTTTTTTTTTTTTCTTTTTTTTTTTTCTGTGGAAATCTAACTTTTCCACTAGGTGATATTAAAGCAAGACCAAGAGAGTGGAAAATGGCTGGGACTACAGCTCTGGGTCATACTAAGAGCGACTATTGCAGGGGTACTACTGAAGTTTGCTCTTGGAGTGGTTTGCTATAGGAAATGCATTCAGAGCATTTCCATATATATTTATGAACAACCAGGAAGTTCTTTCCTTTTTCCCAATTCCACAATAGTCCTGCAGTGCCCCTTTTCAGCACCAGCCCTTTGCAGATGTTGTGAGGTCATAATTGATCCAGAAATGTGAAACTAAGGATAACGGTATCTTCAACCTGCAGTATGCAATGAAGTATTTGATACAAAAAAGTTACTGAGATAGGGAGAATATCAATGTTAATACCTAATATTTTCATACAAATTGGTTTTAAGTTTCTCTTTTCAGCTAATCATTATGAACTTAATGCAAAATGGCATGGGCAATGAACTCAAAAATGTCAACAATATTAAGGCAGCAAAAGGCTTTAAACAGTTTTTGCTTTTGATCATACTTAATAGCATGAATTTATCTTTGCCAAGAGTAGCAGCTGGAAATTTTAATTGACATTAAAATAAATTTTCTTTGGGCTGAAGGATATGAGCTGGACAAACTGAAGCTTCAGAACAGAATGGATTCAATCCACTGACAAACAACCTCCTGACACTGGTGACTGAGAAGCCAATCTTGGCACCCACAACACCAGAAGAAATGTGTGGGCATGTGAAAGTTTTTGCTGCAGGGATCATGAGATGGTGAATGCAGAAATTTGAGAGGAGGGAGAATAGCAAAGAGTGGAACCAAAGTTTGCAGAGCAAACTTTAAGATCTTTAGAGTTGCTTAAAAGAGTCACATGGGTTCTGGCCCTGGAGAAAAGATGAGTGTAAGACAGCTGTTTAATTTTCAAGGTCACCACTTTTAAGCTCAAGGAATCATTTAACCTGATACGCAGAGTTCAAACAACAGGAGCAGAAGACCTACATGGATGGCCAGAGAGCTCCTGACTAAACTCAAATATAAACAGGAAATGTATGGTAAGTGGAAGCAGAGACTGCTGAATTAGGGGGAATGCAGAGCCCTGTACAATCATGCAGGGATGAGATGAGGAAAGCCAAAGCGCACCTAGAGTTGAATGAGGTGATGTTGTGGCTTAAGACCAGCTGGAAATTAGGCTCCTAAAAGCCACTTCCCTTCCCCCCACCCCCCCACAGTGAGAAAGAGATAAAAAGGGTTGAGACATTATGGGTTGAGACAACAATTTACTGGAAAAATAGTAATAAGATAAGGAAAACAAACAGTTAACAGCAACAATACAATACTAATAATAACAATATATAAAAGAGGGTGATTACCTGCCAAAAATGCTTATGGAAGTCCAACTATCCCATTGGACTTCTATGGTCATTACCATGGCCAGCAGCTGAGACAAAGGAATAAAATGGTGGCTGTTACTGCATCCCTGGTGGCCATATGGCTTTTCCAAAAACACAGGAGAAAAGGCTGGACATTACCATAGCCTGTGAGGGGGGGGTTTTGTCCCACATCTGAGACAATGGAAAACAATGATGGATAAACTCCCGAGCCAGTCTGCATGGCTCTGCTCAGACCACATCGACTGCACCACTCTGTTTGGCACTTTGCTTTCACAGGTAAAGAAGGAACAAAAATGTCTGTCCTGCCATTCTGCTTTTTCTTCTACCCAAAGCCATGCCCGCCAGTTATGTGACTAGTATAGAATAAATCATCTGTACACATCCATACAGCTCCAGCCTTCTAGACCTTCCCATACCTCCATCCCATCAAATGCCAAAAATAACTCTGTATGGGTTGAAACTAGGACAGATGAGAAATGTGAGGGTAATGGGGAAAGTTTCTACAACTACATGAGTTGAAAGAGGGCATAGGCTGAGGTGCTCAATGCCTTCTTTGCCTCCACCTTTACTGGTAAAAGCAGCCTTCAGGAACTTTAGGCCTTTGAGACTAGAGGAAAAACATGGAGCAAGGAAGACTTACCTTGGATGGAGCAAAAAAAAAATGTCAGGAAGTACTTGAAAAAACAGGACATACACACATTCATGCATTGATTTAGGATGGCATGCACAGAGCTGAAGAAACTGAGTTGTGCTATTGCAAGTTACCCTCTATTGCCTTTGAAAGATTGTGGGTGATGGGAACTGGCCCCTGAGGTAAGAGAGCAAATATCACTCCTGTCCCTGAAAGAAGGAGGATCCAGAGAGTTATAGGCTGGTCAGCCTCACTTTAGTTCCCGGGGAGGTGATGGAATAGCCAATGCTAGAAACCCTTGCCAAAGACAAGGACAAAGAAGTAATTAGGATCAGGAAGGATTTATGAAAGGTAAATTGTGCTTAACCAACTTGACAACCTTCTACAATATTGAAGTTCACAAAGGGAAGTCCTGCCCTTGTGGATGAACAAACCCAGACACCAACACATGCTGGAGCCAGTGGGCTGCAAAACAGCTACACAGAGAAGGATCCGGGGGTCACGTGCTTAACAAAAAGTCAACTCACCAGCAACTCACCTGCACAGCAAAGACAGTGATTGACATCCTGAGCTGCACCAGGAAAAACAGCAGGAGCAGCTGGAGAAATGAGATCCTTTCCATCTGTTCAACACTGGTAGAGTTAAGATACATCTGGAGTGCTGGGTCCAGGTCCGAGCTTCCCAAGCACAAAACAGACATGGACATTCCAGAGTACCTCCAGCAAAGGACCGTAAAGAAAAAGGGACTGGAAAATTTGTCACATGATGATACACTGAGAGAGTTGGGAGTGCTTAGTCTGGAGAAGGCTCTTGAAGGATCTTACTGATTTCTAGAAATATTTGGTGGGGAGAAAAGAATTGTATGGACCAAGGCTCTTCTCAGTGACAAGATGAGGCAATGGGCACAAACTGGATGGTGTGAAATTCCATCTGAATACTCCAGAAGGTTTTGCTATTCGGTTTTAGGTTTTGGCCTTTTTTTTTTTTTTTTTTTTTTTTTTGCCACTATGGAAGCAGTCAATCACTTGTACAGTTTGCCCAGAGAAGTTCTGGCATTTCAGCCTTTGGAGATAATTAAAACCAATTACAGATGGTCCTGGGCAGCCTCCTCTACCTGACTCTGCTGTGAGCTGGGACACAGTTGATTTTAGTCCTGATGAACTAGATGGCCCCTTCCAACCTTGAATATTCTGTGATCCTGTGTTTCAGGTGAGTAGTACATTGCCTTCCAAACTTCTTTGAACACAGAGAAAATATGAGGGTTTAGGAAACAGAATGATCCAAATAAATGTTAATGCAATCACAGCTGAATAATACAGGAATCTTGCAATTTCCAGACTTGAGGAAGTTGCTAATTAAACAATAGCACAAAAGGGTGTGGGTCTCTGTCACAGTGCCTAGACACTGATAAGATGAACAGTATTAATAATAATTTTCTCTCTAATAAATGTATGGTCTGGTTTTAGGAGCTCTGTATCTTTCTGTAAGTTCATATAACTTGCTTTTTTCCACCCATTAATCTCTCACATTAA